TCTTCTTCTTCTTCTTCTTCTTCTTCTTCTTCTTCTTCTTCTTCTTCCTCCTCCTCTTCCTCTTCTTCCTCTTCCTCCTCTTCTTCTTCTTCTTCTTCTTCTTCTTCTTCTTCTCTCTCTCTCTCTCTCTCTCTCTCTCTCTGTGAATAACATCAAAAGCTCAATCGTCTCCTGCTGCATGACATCTTAACCTGGAAATATCATTGAGGAAGAGTCTAGACTCAACAGGAAGGATGCGTAGCAAAGAAGAGCTACCCTAAGTCTCATCCTTCTTTTCCTCAAACAATATCTCTCTACATTCCAGTTTTTTTAATTCCTTCTTTTTGGAACTTTGCTCCAGTGTTTGTCCCTAGCCTGACAAAATACTTGGTTTTGAAGTTCAGCGTCGATCGAAAATCCAAAAATTGCACAAGAAAGAGATTTCTTAAGCACAGAACCGTTCATTAGCACAAAAAGGACGTAATCTTAAAAAAGAGAAGCTACCCAATTTCTGTGCCATTGATGTCTCTCCTGCTTAAACGGTGAATCTTAATGAAAGAAAAAATAATCTTAATTAGAAAAAATGTTACAAGCCGCCTGGAATCACCTTTGAACCAGTTGGAAGGGTGTTTTAAATGTGTTGAATAAATAAATAAACTTTTACATTTCTATTTTTACGTCGTGGGTTCGGGCAGCTGAGAGAATTAATCCCTCTGCTTTTGGGGGCAACAAATTGGAATTGCTGTCTTTGCAAACTTTGCCTGGGTTCAAATTGTGGGTGCTGCAAAAAAAAAAAGGGTTGTGTTGAATTCGGAGAGAAACCATATTCCCAAATTGTGTCTCATTTGCTCAGTCCTTTGGAAGAGGCAAGGATATTTTCTTGGGTCATCGGTTGTGAAGGCGGCCCAGCAAATTCCTCGAATTTTGTAGTAGCTGCAGTAGCTGAATGAAGCAATGAACGGTTAAGTCAAATAGGTTTTAAAAATCCCCTTTCTTCCTCCTCTCTATGGGTTAAGAGCACCAAGTTAGAAATCTAGAGGCTCTGGGTTCTAATCCTGCCTTGGACGCAAAGCCAACTGGGTGACCTTGGTGCCAGCCACACACACTCAGCCCTAGGAAGCAGGCAATGGCAAATTGCAAATTGCCATTTCTGAAATCTTGCCAAGGTTTTATTTTTCCAATTTTTGTCGTGAGAAATCAAGACTTAACCTGCATCAACCCTGCCTTAAAAAAATAAAATAAAAGTAAAATATGTCGTCTTTCCCTTCTGGATGAAAATGACAGGAGAAAAAAATAAATAAATGGAATTTGTCTGCCTGGTTTTAAGGTGCAATTCGCCACAATTTATTGTTTCTACTTTTAAAAAGGGGTTTGTAGAAATTCATTACTGTTGCATCAGGACTTCAAAACAAAAATGGACTAAGGATACATTTGTTTATTTAGATGTTAAACTTGTTTATTATATAATTTTTAGGATTCACTTTTGTGACAGTTAAGGCAGGACTTCCAAAAAAACAAAACAACAGAAAACCAGCACTGGGATGCATTAGTTTCTTACGTTTTTTTAATATTTTTAAACGGGTGATTTGCTACAGAGATTTAGCTTTTAATTACAAATTAAATAAAATATAAATCTCTTTGTTAAAAGAGACGTCTGGGCATCCCTGGCGGAGGATGATGGGTACCAGGGCCCAACACAACAAAATGAGAATCGGGTTGGGAAAAGGCTTTGGGCTGAGGAGAATGGGATTCTTTGCTCAGCGCTGTGGATGATGGGGGTTGTAGTCCAGCGCCCTTGAGGTAAAGAGAGGAGAGGATCAGCCCCGGCTTGGGGATGATGGACAATGGAGGAGGATGGCAGTGGAGGGTGGGAGTCCTTGTGCCCAGCCCTGTGCACAATGGGGGCTGTAGTCCAATGCCCACGAGGGGTTAGGGGGTCGGCCGGCTGGGGATGATGGGTGATGGAAAACACAGGCAGGTGAATAGTGGCAAAGCTGCACACAACGCTCGGCGAGGACGGCAGTGGAGGATGGGAACCTTTGTCCAGCTCGGTGTCCTTGAGGTAAAAGAGAAGCGGGGGGAGGGGGGGGGGCGTCTTTTCTGCCGGCTGGGGATGATGGAACCCGCCTTGCGGCGGCGGCGGCGGCGGCAGGGGAGGATGGGCTGGCGGGCTCAGGCGCCCACCCACCCACCCAGCCCCCGGCCTTGCCTGGCTCTCGCTCGCCGGGCTGCTCCTCCTCCCGCTGCTGCCGGGCGCCGCCCTCGCCCTCCCGCCGGCCCTCCGCAGCCATGGCCGCCGCCACCGCCGCTCCGGCTGCTCCCTAGGCCGGAGATCCCGCCGGACGACCCCGCTGTGGCTCCCTCCAGCAGCTCCCGGCACCTTCGGCTCCTCTTCCGCTGGCCTCGCCGCCCTCCGGGGCTCCTGTTTCCTTCCCTCCTTCTCCCTCCTCCCGCTCCTCCCTCGCCCCTCTCTTTTCCTTTATCTCCTCCCTTCCTCCCTCTCCTTTCCTCCTTTTTCTCTTTCTCTCCTTCTTTTCCCCCTCAACCTTCTTTCCTCGGCTTCACCGTTTCGTTTCAGCTCCCTTTTCTTTTCTTTTCCTTTCACTTTCCCTTTTCCCACTGCCTCACACTTTCCTTCCTTCCTTCCTATTTTCGTCCCTTCCTTTTTTCTTTTCATTGGTCCCTAATTTTCTGATCTCAGCTTCTGACACATTTTTATTTCCTTTAGTTTTTTTCCTTCCTTCCTTCCTTCCTTCCTTCCTTCTTTTCCCATTAGTCCCTAATTTTCTGATCTTAGCTTCTGACACCTTTTTATTTCCTTTAGTTTTTTCCTTCCTTCCTTCCTTTTTTCTTTCCATTGGTCCCTAATTTTCTGATCTTAACTTCTGACACATTTTTATTTCCTTTAGTTCTTTCTTTCTTTCTTTCTTTCTTTCTTTCTTTCTTTCTTTCTTTCTTTCTTTCTTTCTTTCTTTCTTTCCTTCCTTCCTTCCTTCCTTCCTTCCTTCCTTCCTTCCTTCCTTCCTTCCTTCTTCCCCACTTTTTCCCAATCCTGTTTTTTCCTTTAACCTCCCACAGCATGATTCGAGGGGACCCCTTCAGACCTCCATTCCCAGGCTCCAAGTTCGCCTGCCGCTGCTGATATGACGCTGGACCCCCATTTCAAGAGCTGACCGATCCCCCCCCCAAAACACCTGCTTTTGAGGACAACCTGGCCAGCACTGACCTGAGATGACCCTTCATGGCAACGCTTCCTTTCACCTCTTTCGCTTTCCGTCTCGTTGGACTAACCTCCTTCCTTCCTTCAAGCACTTACAAATGTTTTGCTTCTCAGATACATCTGATCGTGGCTGGGTTTATTGAATTTATCCGCGAATATCGCCGCTTTTTCACGGTTTGGTCCTTGAAATGCCTCCTGCCCCCACATCAATTCTCAATTTATCTTCCTAGGAAATGTCCAAAGAACAGAATTGGGACAGAAACAACAATCGAATGATGGTGGGGACCCTAAATGTTCGCATCGGACCTAACAGAACTGAATCCTTTTTCTTGCCTTCCTGTTACAGATGACAATTTGGGGGCTTTTATGCAGGGCTGGTGAACGACCAAAACACAAAAACAATTACAATTCTTGGACTCTGCTTTGATTCCGTTGGAATAAATACTTGAAGCCGCGGGGACTTGGCCTGCACTATGCCAGAAAAAAGGGACTTTTCTGTAGCTGTCTTTGTGCAATCTGATGAGCTCACCTTACCACAGGTGAAGTTGCAAGAAGGAGCGAAGCTGGACCCTTTAAAATCCGGCCTGCTGACCGGATGGAAGTTTGCAAATTTACGCAGGGCTGAAAGGAAGGACGAGAGAGCGAGAGAAAAGCGTGCTTTTGTTTTCACCCCCTCGCTTTGAAAGGCGACGCTGAAATTTCCCTGGCCTGTTTGGGAAGCCGGGCTGTGTGTCCCGTGGGAGGAACAATCTATGGGTCAGCAACCTGGAAAAGTCCTGGGCGAGCAACGGAGGCCGAGTCTTCCCGCCTTGCACTTTATCAAGGGTGGGGTGAAGAAGGAAGCACCCCCAAAGCAAGGGGGCACCCATTGCAACGTCTTTCT